GTTGGAGGCTGCAGCGGGCACCTTCCCCCGAGGAGACGAGGAACTCAGCAGTGTCTGGGGTTTCTGTTGCCTCCCAGTGCCTCACCACTTGGGAGTCTTGGCATTGTCATAGCTGAAGTTGCAGTGAACTGAACGGAATGGAATCCATAAAAATGACAATAATTCCATCTGTTTAGTTTTGGGGTTTTGGTCACACCTGGCGAATTTTGTCTGTTTTTAAAGGATAGTGAAGCAATAAGTATTTTGTTGTGGTTCTGCAAGGCCTCTGGCATAATTACTACTCAGATAATCACTGTTTGTGAAGGAATCTGTAAAATTCAGCAAAAGAAAGAGTTGGAGGGGTGTGCTCTGTGTGGTCGGTCATCCCAACTGAGAGTGACTTGAGAGCAGGTCACTAGAGGGTAGTGGTCCAGGTGAGGAAGGCAGCACCCAGCCTAGCTGTTAGCGGCGTCAGCCTGCTCACGCCCGCCGGCTCCTCTTCGTCCTGGGGGCTGCTGAGAAGATGTGTGTGTGCGCGTTGCAACAGACCTGAGGCCCAGAGTGAGCACAGGGTCGGTGCGCTGGTTTGATCCCCAGCACTACATTTGGTCCCCTGAGCACTGCTGGGTGTTGCTCCCAAAAGTGAAAGAGTGAAAAAGACCCAAAGAATTCTAAAATGAGTGTATTATTGTGGCTTCTATGAGAAGCACCACATTTCACTGTATAGATGTTGGGTGTCGTGTCTACCCCCCAGCTTTATTTAAACATCATGGTTTAGAAAGTTGTTTAGGGACTGGAGCAATAGCACAGCGGGCATTTGCCTTGCACGCAGCCGACCCAGGTTCGATTCCCAGCATCCCATATGGTCCCCTGAGCACCGCCAGGGGTGATTCCTGAGTGCAGAACCAGGAGTAACCCCTGTGCATTGCCGGGTGTGACCCAAAAAGCCGAAAAAAAAAATCAGGCCTGGGTTCTGATGTAACCCTCTATTGTTAATTTTGGATGATAGGATTAAAAAAGTTGCCTGATTTACATCTAGAAAGTTGTTCCTAGCCCACTGGTTTTGGGCATTCAGTATTCCACCACCAGTCCCACCACCAGTGGGACCTTCCTTCCACCATTGTTCCCAGTGTCTTGCCCACCCCACAGCTACCTGCCCTCACAGGCCAGGCACAAAGTGGAATTATCAAAAAAGAGTTCAGTAAAAGAAAATTGTAATTCACATTGGTGTTATTAAAGTCATTTAGAATCATACATCTTTTGCTTCTTTCTTTCTCTTTCTTTCTTTCTTTCTTTCTTTCTCTCTCTTTCTCTCGTTCTCTCTTTCCTTCTTTCCTTCCTTTCTTTCCAAAAATGTCGAATGAGACTATTATGTGACCATAGTGGGGGGCAGTTGTACTGGTATTACTTAAAAAAGGTACAGTGATTATGCAGTGAAACAGTATCCAAGGAGGGCTGGAGCGATAGCACAGCGGTAGGGCGTTCGCCTTACAAGCGGCCAACATGGCCAACCCGAGTTCGATTCCTCCGCCCCTCTCGGAGAGCCCGGCAAGCTACCGAGAGTATTCGATATGCCAGACACAGTAACAACAAAGTCTCCAATGGAGACGTTACTGGGCCCGCTCGAGCAAATCGACGATCAACGGGAGGGCCTTTACCTTTACCTTTACCTTACATTTTTTTATGTGGGGCCTAGGAATTGAACATGGGGCTTTGTAAATGCCTAACTCTAACTAATTTATTAGTTATATAACTCAGTCTTCAGGTTGATGTGGATAAATGTGCACGGGAAGAAGGTACTCAAGCTGATTGGAGGTTCTTTTCTCATAGCATAAACATCTGGAGGGCTGGAGCGATAGCACAGCGGTAGGGCGTTTGCCTTGCACGCAGCCAACATGGCCGACCCGAGTTCGATTCCTCCGCCCCTCTCGGAGAGCCCGGCAAGCTACTGAGAGTATTTGATATGCCAAACACAGTAACAACAAAGTCTCCAATGGAGACGTTACTGGGCCTGCTCGAGCAAATCGATGAACAATGGGTGGATAAGTGAAACATCTGGAGACAGGATTGCTGCAAAACAAAACAGAAGTCTGCCCATGCACAGTAGTGCTTGAGATAAATTTTAGAGAATTTATTCAAAGTAAAACGAAATTTAACATCATGCTGACTAGATTTTGCATTGGAATGAGCGTAAAGTTGAGTTTGAAATGTGGATGTTCACCTGCTGAGCTTGCCAGGCGAAGAAGGGCTTTTGCCTGTGCTTATCACATCCCTTCATTGTTCAGACCACACGGTGAACGTGTTCGGAAGGAGAGGTAGAATGTCCATCCCGTCTGGTGACGGCATTGGTCCTCCCGGGGACTGCAGGCCAAGGAGGCCTGAGCGAGGGTGAGGCAGACAGCCGGGGATGCTTCTGTCTGAGACGTCTGATGTTCTTCACAGATTTACTCATTTTCTTTCATTTTCTTGGTCCTCTGCAGTCTGTACTGTATAGTGAGAGTAAGAAACAAAGTATAATCAGTGTCCAGTTATATTTATGCTACACAGAATCAACAAGTTACGGAAAAAATGAAGGCGAAATTTTCTTTAGCTTAGATCAGGGCCTATGTGGTTTTGGGGTTTTTGCATTTATAATCTTTCTCCTCCCTCATCTGCTTGTTGAATTGTTCACTTGTCTAAAGAAAGGTGAAATCTCTTTTTGATACAGAATGTTTGCCCTGCTCGCGGCCAGCCAGGATTGAGTCTCGCAGCAGTAAGTCCTGAGCACTGCCTTGTAAACGGGAAAGAAATGCTGAACGGGTCACAGGGGCTGAGGCGCTTGATTCTCGTGGGCCGACCTTGGCCAGTCCCTGGCGCTGCATGTCCGCTGAGTACAGAGCCAGAGGAGTGCCCGGCCCCACTAAAGCAAGTCTTTCCCCCTTCACTGTAGGCCCCTTGATTCCCTGTCCTGTTAATGACGGATTTCATGAGCACACAGCCCGGCTGACCGCGGAAGCCGCCAAGATGAATGGGCTGCGCCCTCTCCTTCCCCGCACTGCCCCGCAGCGTGGAGTTGGTTGTGATTTCTTGTTCCAGTTTTGCTCTGAGGATGGTGCTTGGCTCTTTACGTATTTCAATCAGTATTCTCTCACTTTTAACTTTTGGGAAAAGTTTGTATGTATTTAGCATAATTCTACTTAATTATTAAAGAAATATAAGGTGAAATTCTCCTTTAAAGCCTAGAGATATATTTGCCTAGAGATATATTTGTGGGAAAGTTTTGCACAGTAATTTTACTTTTATAGAGACAGATGTATTCCTTCTCTTCTTTAGTGAACTTGATGATTTGTGTTTTCAAGGAGTTTTTCCATTCTACCAGTTACTTTATTGGTTGTAATGCTTTTCTAATATTTCCTCATTTTCCTTCTTGTATCTGGAGGCTCTGAAGTGTTCTTACCGCCCTTTTGCGATTGTGATTTTTCTCTCTCATGAATAGCCTGGCTAGAGAGGTTTTATCAGTTTTGTTGTCTAAAAGAACCAGTTTTTGTTGTTTTACTTTATTCTGATTTATATTTTTCTCCCCTTTCTGTATAGTTTAGTCGTTATTTGTGCATCTTTTTCTAGTTTCTTTAAGCTGAAAATTGAGGTAATCAGTTTTTTAAAAATTTTTTGTTTAGTTCACACCAAATGGTGCTCAGGGGCTCTTTCTGGCTCTGTGCTCAGCAGTCACCCCTGGCAGTGGTCAGGGACAATGTGTAGTGCCAGGATTTGATCAGGGCAGTTTCCGATGCAAGGGAAGGACCTTGGCTTTCCAGCCGCTTTGGCCTGAGGTCTTTTTAATATACTCTCAGTACAATCAAGTTTCCTCTAATTGAGTGGGTTTTACTTCACTCGTTTCAAACTGTTTCCTGATTTCTCCTTTGGTTTCTTCTTTTCCTTACTGTAGAAATGTTTCTTTCTTTTATTTTTAATTAAACTTTGTTGTTGTTGTTATTGTGATTGAAGTAGCATGGTTACAGCCATGTTAGCTTTAGGGTTTCAGAGTCTGTATTCCACGTCATTGCCCAGGACCCTCCACTGCTCTCCTGTTTTGCGTCTGGTCTGTCCATTCCTGTCCCCACCGGTTGGTGGTCTTGCTTTGTGAGTGAGGGTCCAGCATTTGTCATCATTTGCTTCTGCTCGTTCTCTTATTTTGCAGAGGCTTCTTATAAATTCTTGGCGAATTGACCCCTCTGCCCTTACGAAGTGCCCCTGACCCCTCTTAAAGTTTGCTCTGGAAAATTGTTTAGATTTAGCTTTGACACGACAGCCTGCATTGTGTGCGCTTCATCCTTTTGTGTCTCTATCTTTACATAAGTTCAATGTAGTGTTTTGTTTAAATCAGCGTATGATTAGATCTTCCTGTTTTTAAATCCCTTTATTATTTGATTTTGGTTGGCTTTTTAGTTTAGACCAGCCTTTCTTAACCATGGCCATCCTCTGGGCCCCCTGGATTTGGGAGGGGGGACGCACAAGTGAAAATTGCATGAATGAGGGCCCATGGGATGAGATTAAGATGCTAGGATATGGGGCCAAATGGTTGGAAGGGGGCCACAGTCAGAGGCTGAGGAACACTGGCTTAGACCGTTTGACTGTATTATTGGTTATTGACAGCTATTTATTATAATCTTCAAGTGATAGTATGTCATTCATGTAATGTACAAGAAACATGATTGTATTTAATTTTCCACTCCTGATCTCACAATAGTGGTTGTTTCAAAAGCAAATTGTTTTTTTAAAGATGTTTTGTCGGAAACATGTCATTAAGGTCTGGAGAGACAGCCCAAGGGTTAAGGCATTTTGCTGACCTTACTTTGATACCCAGCACGACAGATGGTTCCTTGGAGCACTTCCAGGGGCTACTTTTGAGTTCAGATCCAGGAAAAATGCCTGAGCACTGCTGGTGTGATGCCCAGCCCTCTTCTCCAAATAATAAAATTGCCAGGAGATCAGTAAACTTCACTGTGTACCTCACATGGCCCTTTTCATCTCTGTCCTTGCAGGTTCTGCTGGAGACTTACATTTGGCCTCAATGTGAAGTTTAAGTAGAATATCACATCTTCGTGTGTCGCTCTCAGGATGTTGATTGTTGATTCATCGGCCATGCCTGAAGAGAGAGATTCCGTTCTAAATGGCTGATTAACAGCAAAATCAATACAGATCCTAGATGTCAGGCAGCCCTCTGCTTGACTGGCGTGAAAAATCCTCGTCTGAGACCATCAGAACATCAGCTGCAAACAATGCCCCACGTGCTAAGGATGTTGGCAACCTGAGTTCATGCGCCCTGTCTGCACCATCACTGTGGATGGTTCACCATCTGGAGGCTCCCCAGGCTCCTTTCCCGGATCCGGACCTGTTTCTGAGATGTCTCTGCTTCATGCTTTGGGCCCAGTGCAGACCTGGCTGGGACAGGAGCTAGAGAAATGTGGCATTGATGCCATGATCTATACTCGCTACGTCCTCAGTCTTCTGCTGCATGACAGCTATGACTACGACCTACAGGAACAGGTGGGTCCCTGTTGCTGAGGTTTATGGGGGCTCCGCATCAGGCTGCACATCTGGATTTCTCTCACACTTTAGAGCAGGACCCTCCCCGTAACCTGTGAGACTAGGTGGCGCCACATGCCTTCGGCGCACTTGTTCTCCTTTGATCATCAGTGCTGTTCTCCTCCAGCTCTCTCTCCTGCTCCTGCGGGGGGCACTGTTTGGGGTTGACCCCCGCCGCCGTGAGTGGCACTGATCCAGAATGTTGTCTTCTGCTCGTCAGGCAAATCACACAGAATGATTAGACGTTTTGATCACTGTGTCTCTTATGCTTATTTACATTGCAGAGTTTAATATTTGTCTGCAAGAGTGATGTTGAACTGAAAGTTTCTGTTGCCAGTCAGCAAACTTAAAAGAAGCGCATGACTTTGCCATAAGTGATTTTAGATCATGGTGGAATTCAGTCTGCGTACATTTTACTTGACTGGGATGCGATAAATTCACAGTGAGAAGGCAACTAAAGTTAGTTTTCTGGGGGGCGGGGGAGGGGAGACCACTGGAGTCTCACTATCTAAGAGTTGTTCCTGAAAGTGAGACCTTGAAAGAGTCAGGGGCAGAGGAAGGAAATGAGCACAGACTTCACCTGCCAGGGAGAGTTCTGTGGCTGGTGGTGGTTACGAACACTGAGTGCAGGACATAGTTTCACTGAAGGAAGAAATTGCTTTTGCTCCTTCATGCCTCAGAAACTAAATTCTGTGGCTTTCAGGGACTGCCGAGCCTGTCCTGGCCCACTTGGACAGTATGCGTGTTTTCTCACCCTTTGTAGCTGGACACAGCTGCTGCGTCCCTATTTCCCGGTGCTTGGCTGCCTCTAGAGTTAGGCCAGATTTTGAGGGTTGACTTCATAGGAAAATGTGTTATTCGGATGGCCGATACTTTGTATACTTTCCTTAACCAAGGCTCCCTTCTCCTGTTGCTGAAAGGCAAAATGCATCTAAGTAAAAGGTAAAGGTAAAGGCCCTCTCGTTGTTCATCGATTTTGCTCGAGCGGGCCCAGTAACGTCTCCATTGTGAGACTTGTTGTTACTGTGTCTGGCATATCGAATACGTCACGGGGGGCTTGCCAGGCTCTGCCATGCGGGCGAGATACTCTCGGTAGCTTGCCGGGCTCTCCGAGAGGGGCGGAGGAATCGAACTCGGGTCGGCCATGTTGGCTGCGTGCAAGGCAAATGCCCTACCGCTGTGCTATCGCTCCAGCCCGCATCTAAGTAGAGTATGAAATATACAAACTTGGAAAAATTTCTGTTTTAAGAAACTGGCCAGGTTGGTTTCCTTCCTGCCTGCCTGCCTTCCTGCCTGCCTGCCTGCCTGCCTGCCTTCCTTCTGGCTTGGTGACCATATGGGGTGATGGGGATGGAACCTGGGTCTGCTCCGTACCAGGCAGAAGCCATCCCCCTTGTCCTCTCACTTTAGCCCCGAGGGTATTTCTTTACCCCTTCCCTCCCCCCCCAAATCATGCACTTCAGTGTAAGCATTTCCTCACAGAGAACGAATCCTATTTTTTAAAGGATTTGAATAAGGTTTTGTTTCTTAGAATTTTGTTAACAATACCAGCCTAGAGTATTTTCTCAACACTTAATTCATTAGCAGAAAGGATCAACGAGCTGGATGTGATCGGACTTTATATGAAAGGAGTGAAGCCGAGGCCTGCTGTGGGGATTGTGTTTGCGTGCGTCTCTGAAGAGGCTTGTTTGTGAATTCCTCCAGTGACTGTTAGCTCTCGGGGTTGAGGTATTCTTCCTACCAGCTGTGTTTGAGCCTCCTTGTAAAGTTCTGGTTTGTCTTGATGTGTGTGACACAGGACAGATAAAGGTGAGTAGAAACAGCACATATCTGGAGTTTCTGAGAGAAGCCACAGGGGAAGAAAAAGCTCGCAGATACCTTGCCACTAAGTCACTTGCCACTTGCCACTAAGATCTTGGTTTCAGGAACAGGTGTTTATACATGAATTTGGTCTCAGCTGTCTCGGATTGAATGGGCAGGAGGTTAGGCAGCTTAGACCTGTCTCAGGCACGGCTGAGTTACTTAGTTACATTTGGCTCTGGGGTTTAGAAGGGTTGTGGCATCGTAGAGCTTGCCTGTTCTGGTATGGTAGAGTGGCTCCAGCCCCAGAGCCCCCATGTTTCTTTCAGCACTTGTCACCCTTGGGTCAGTGTGCTCGAGGGGCGTCAGGATGAACGAGATCCCCTCTCTGGCCTTCCAGCCCTGCTTGTCTTCCTTGTAAAGGCTTTTTCTGATCGTTCCCAGTAAAAACAACATTGTCTTCAAAACTTCGTCAGATTTCTACTATAGAATTCTTTATTAAATGTATTAACTTTAAACTTTATTTTAGGTAGCAAAATTAGAGTAAATTAAATTCAGGAAAATGAACACCAGCCGTTCATTATTAAATAAAGGCTGAGTTTTACTGCCTGTCTGCATGATGCCCTTTGTGGTGTGGCCATCTTCGTCACCCCATTCTGAGTCTGAGATCATGCTGACGTCCTGGGCATCTCTCCTTCACCTTCCGTCTGGAGTAACTTCTCAGCTTTCCTTGGGTGCTTGACATTGTAGGGCGGGGGGCACCCCCAGTGGTGCACAGGAGCTACTCCTCTTTGTCTCTTAGGGGACTCTGATGGTGCTGGGGTTCGAGTCCAGCTTCTTGCCTGTGGGCTCTGACCCAGCACTGTTTGGAGATCACTGTTCAGGTGTTTGTGGAGTGTCCATTTCTTCCACCGCATCACTTTGAGTCAGCTTGCTTTGGCAGTGGTGTGCCTGACTTCCCCACGTCCCCTCATTTCCATGCACGGCAGGGGGCATCGATGTTGGCCCGCGGGTTTCCCCACTGTGCAGCGCAACTCTCTTCTGCGGCACCAGCCACTGGAGACGGTTTTGCCTGATCCCTCCTGTTGAGTGTCACTGAACACTGCGGACAGGCGCTCTTCAACTTTGCCTTCGGTTGTTGGCCATAGGCTCGGGCAGCTGTGTTGGATGGTCTGGACACTCTTGGGTAAGACTCATTAATCTTGTAGGCAAGGACTTTCCCCTCCATCAGCCTGTCCCTTGGGCTCCATGCCAGTCCCACCCTGTTTGGATTATTGCTGGTTGCAGTTTATTTGAAATCTCTTAATTGAATTTTTTTCTTGCTCAGATTCCACCATTGGAAAAGTGTACCTCCTTTGTCCTTTGGTTCGATCCGTATAACCTCAGAACTGCGTGCTCGGTGAGGCCCACCTGTGCCATGCCTGGGACCGGTCCCCAGGAGCTCAGGGTCGTAGGCAGCGTCTCGCTCTGCAGGATCTGCTGCAGAGACCTACCAGCCTCCAGCCCTGGTGGCGCCCTGCCTTTCAGACACGCTCACTTACTGGACCTGATAATTCAGCGTGTGAAAAGGAAGCCGCAGGGAGGCAGTACTGATGATGGAGAACATTGCGTGTCCTCAGACTCCTTATGGCACCAACCTAAGAGCTTTGGCATGGTAAAATTTTTATGGGAAATAGGCTGCTTTGAATAGGACTTCATTGTTGGGGGGAGGGGGTGTTGCTCCCCGCCCCCCTGCAGTGCTGAGGGCCCAGGGCCATTCCCGGAAATCCTGACAGGTCAGTGTTGGAGCCCTGGTGCTCGGAGGTTGAACTCGGGGCCCTGAAACTTTGTGCTGTTGGAGGCAGGGGCTGAGGGTGGCGGTGCTGGGGACTCAGAACTCTTCAGGGCTGCACGTGGCACTGCGCGGGGATCCGGGTGGTGCTGCAGATACAGCCCTGTCAGGTGCATGCCAGGCCTGAGCCGGTCAGTGCTAGACCATCTTCCATCCCGAGTGATGCGTTTCCCAAGTCCGTGCTTCTGCTCTTACCTCAATGTGTGAGTTGCGCATGACGCTGGCAGGCACCGGGACCCGAGGAGACTGTCCCTGAGAGGGACCTGAGCTGCTCTGGCTCTCCATAGCATGGACTCTGCGTGGGGGACGCAGCAGTGGGGCCGGCAGCCTGAAGGAAGGGAAAGCCGAGGTCACGTGAAGAAGGAGCGGGGCGAGCAGGAAACAGGCCTGAGAAGCCGATAGTCTGTGCGGCATTTGCTATTTTGGTCCCAGAGACAACGAGCCCGGCTATATTTAACCAGCAGTTCAGGATGGCATGCAGCAGGGTGGGCCAGCCGGCCGGACACTGCAGGCCACGGGGCTGGACACAACCTGCACGCACACCTCAGAGGCGAGGGGGTCTGTTGCCGAGGCCTTTCCTCGAGTTTGGACTTTTCCATTCATGAACACTGCGGACAGGCGCTCTTCAACTGGAATCTAGTCTGAAAAGGGCTGCAAATGTCACACAGCAGGCCTGAACTGACTCGGGGGGGGGGGGGGGGGGTGGCGGGGAGGCGCCTGTGGCTGAGGCTCCGGAAGCAGGGCTGGCCCCCTCCTGCTCCATTCAGAGTTCTGCTGCCTGTTGGCTCCCTGCCGCCCCCACCATCGCGGCTTGCACACGACACCGCGAATGTTCCCTGGCACCCTCTTCTCTCCTGCTTTGCTGAGCCTGCTTGATTGGTTGCAAGCCTCTCTCTCGGCCTGTCCCCCTGGCCAGAGGGACAGAGCCTGCGGGGTGGGTATTCCTGCTGACAGACACAGCCTGGCTCGTTCCTCGGGCTCCGAAGGGAAGGTGGGCGGCAGGGGCGGAACCCGGCGCGCACAGACGTCACTGCCAGCAGCTGTTCAGAAGGTTGTGTTCTTTCTCGGCCCCCAGCTTCCCGTTTCCTTTTTGATAGTAGGCCGCCCGAGAGTCAGCGCGCTCACCTCACGTCACCTCGCAGCTGTGGTGGAAAAGCACCTGCGATGAGGCCTTTGTCTGAGAAGTGTCTCGGCCCTACCTTCCTTGGGCATGTGACAGTCGTGTTCAGGCTCCGGGTCTGTAACTCGGAGAGATCAGGTGTGATCTTCCTGGGTTATGGAGTCCGTCCTTGGCGTATGTCTGTTTCTGGTTATGTCTAATGGACTTTCC